TATATATATATATATATATATATATATATATATATATATATATAAATTCTATTGGGCCTTATTTGTGTAACCTCGGTCCAAATACCTGAGTTTCAGTAATAGCTTTGCAACCAGATGCAAAAAGTTTTTATTTTTTATGAACACAATCAAACTTTCAATTCAACCAAATTATTATTTATTTATTTACTTTTTTCTTTAAACTATCATTGGTGAGTGTCTACCCTTTGGCCTTCTATTCAAAGTTTGTTGAAGGAAAATTACAATCTTGATAGCTAATTAATTATTCGACCAGACACAGAGAATTGAAACAGTTCCTCAAACTTTGTGTGACTGATTGTCGTGTCTTTTTGCTGTAAAACCTCTGACAGGTAACCCATAGCATCACCTTAACAGACATTACATCATGTATTAATGTTAAGGCCTGAAATGATCATTCAAACAATCTTGACAGTGCCTTTCTGTTAGAAATGTTCATAAATGCAGTTCATACTAGTTTTTACCTAAATCAGCTGTCTTAAAAGGATAAATATTCATATTATTTTTTGAAAAGAATACTGTGAAAAAAAAAAACATCATAGAGCACTGTTAGTTGTTAGCTTTAAAAAATGATTTGGGATTCGCTTTAAATTCAAAATCCCTATTAACTATATGTTCTAATGGCTTGAATTATCGTTCAAAACCATACTGAATTACAGTTTTGTTTGATTTTCAACTCAATTACAACTCTGCACATGTTTATTTTTAATTTTGATTTTGCCACAATTTAAACGGAAGACGCGCTTGTGTGCTTCTTTTATTTCAGCTGACATCTCCACAGTAATCTGTGACAAATTAGAGAAAGCTCAGGTGCTTTTGGAAAATGTGGAGCGGAAGGAGACTCCCAGGCTGCGAAGAATCATCCTGATGGATGCCTTTGGATGTGATCTTGTGGAGCGCAGCAAAACCTGTGGCGTCCACTTGCATGCCATTCAGGACGTCGAGGTATGTGTGGCATAACAAAAACATCACTGCAAAACTTTAAATGCTCTAGACTGGAGTTTGCAATCAGTGCAAATTATACTTTAAATGCATTGTGTAAAATAAACCCACAGTTTGTGGGATAATATCATATTTTGTGTCACTCAAAAAAGTGCACTTAAACAAGAAAAGTCTCATTTTCAAGAATGTTTGCTCATTGCATGCATTTATTAGAATAAAGGTAGTCAAAATAGCCTATTTCACTCTCACATTGTGGAGGATATACATTTCAACACATTTCTGTTTTCTCTCAAGGTAGACAAATAATCATTGTTACCTCAATCTTTTAAACTTTAATCGTCAACATGTGACCAAAATGCTAAACTAACTCCTCGCACTATGTGAAATCATTTTCTTTAGAGCATCAAGCTTAACTGTTTTTCTCTCTGCATACGGGCTGTAGCACTTATTTTTATGTTCAAAGAGGTTATATGGATGAAAAAAAAAAAAGTCCCTGCCAGACAAACAAAAAAACAAAACAAAAATAAATATTGACAGCATGACCCACTTTAGCTTCCTTAAATCTGCATTTCCTCTGTTGTTTTATTTACCCAGCAGTCTCAGCAGTATCCACTACTTCTGCTGGCCCCTGGCTGTGTTTGTGTTTTTTGTCTCTCCTAACTTGTCATTTACCTTTTATGAACATGCATGCAGTGCTTGTAGCCTAACAGGGCGGAGCTGAAGTGACAAAAGACATGAGCTCTCTAGGAAACATCCCTGTACAATGCTTTCTTTAGATTGCTGGTGGAATGTTAGGCTCAGTATAAATACAGGTAGTGAAACAACTATACAGTAATGTCCACCAGTATGCCATATGTTTACAGTCTTGTAACCATTAAAGAGTCTTATGCACTGTACATATGCTAAGTACAGCCAGCTATAACAAATGCATGTTAAGATTTCATCTTGGAGACAGGCATAAACAGGATGAGTATGTGAGGAGATGCTTATCTGATCGCCTCTAGCCTTACAGAATCCGACTAATGCAAGACTTCACAGGCACAAAATTAAGCACAGGTAAACAGACGTGTTGCCATGGTTTCAGCGTTATGGTAGTTTGTCGTTTCTGTTCATTTGCATGACAGTTAGTGCTTCATATTTTCAGGGGCAGCGAACAGACAGGTGGAGGGAAGTATATGGTAATCAGTGCACTTAAATGAGGATGTGTTTTTTTTTTCTTTTGTAATTATTCTAATCGTTACTTTTATAATAATTGTTTACAGTTTAGTCTGATTGAAACTGTATCTCTCAGAATTAGACTGAAACATCCAGATAAATTATTTCTGTAATTGAACCAGAGTTGGCCAAGTCATTCTGAGCATGCTCCCAAAGTTTACATGTCAAACTTTGACCTAGAAAGAACTGAAGAAACTGGTACGCTGTAAGTTTCTGAAACAGGCATTCAAAGGTCGTTCATTATTAGACAATATTATGAACATGTGTTTTAATTATCTACCTTATTTCTGTGCCCACTTGGACTCTGATGAAAACACTAGTTGCTTTGAAATGTTTGTTTTCACATTAAGGCTAATAATTGATCAGGGAGCACCAGCTCTTTTTTTAATTTGTAGGGCTCGTTATAAATTGCCCTCATCGAGATTTAACTGTGTATGGACACATAATGTCCACTGCAAAATTGTTAGAAGCAGAACTTAACTTTTTTTCTCAGTTGATAGCTTTTTTTTTTTCCTGTAATGCTCAAACATTCAAGAAATATTTAAAATGCCAGAACATCAGAATGGAAAAACTACAGCTGAATCAGGGCCCTGACTATCAGGAGTTAAAAAGTATGAAGCAAGAGTACACACAAAAACGTTGGGTACTTAAAATCTACATATAACATTCAATACATGTTTGCAAATAGGATTGCTGACATGTTTGACTTTTATTTACCAGAAAAGACAAAAAGAGGACGAGAAGTAAACTCGTCAAGTTTAACTTCATCTAGAAAATGCTATGGATAAATGTCAGAAAACATGCACAGTTTAACACAAATCACACCAAAATTTAAAATTTTAAATCAAAATATGACACACAAATGTCCCTTTTGTATGTAATTATTTATTTATTTTTGTCTTTAAAGGCACTGGGAAGAGAGCACCACAAAAAACCAATAGTAAGTAAAACAAACACGGCATGTTTGCATTATTTGTACTATGATGGATACAAGAACACGATGAACCAGATAAAACTTAAAGGAAGCATATTTTGATCATGTCATGTAATAGTTTTTTGACATGTCTATTGTTCAAAGTATTTCTATGCATCTGCAGAGTGGCAGCTGTTTCTACGTTACATAACACTGCTTTGACAACAATGAGCACCGACAGCGTCATGCTTGGCATTAGCTGGCCGAGCAATTTGTCACTCTCTGTTTTAAAGCGTGAGACATTCAACTGTAACCCTGTTACACAAGCACAAAAGTGCAACTTCATTTTTATAAAATAGTTTTAGTGAAAGTAGATTGCGAATTCATGCACTGCTGCTGGAATAATGGTAGAAAAAATGGATCGAGCCAGCGGCTGCACATGTTCCTCGTTATTTACCAGGCTTGGGTTAAGCTGAAGAAGCTGCAAGATTTAGTGATTCATCTCTGGATAACTTGCTTATCTTCCAACTGACACCATCTCTTTCTCAACAGCCTCCTGCACCAGACGACCTGTCTATTGTGTGCTTCACCAGTGGAACGACAGGTAATATTTAGTGTTTGTGTGAATATTTTATCCAATCAAATCAATTATTTCAATCAACTTTATTTGTACCTATAAGTAGATTTGATTACAGTGAAGCGAGTCATCACTTCACTGAATGAGACATATAATGTGCACTAGACCCAACAGGATTAAAAAGTGACCAGGTGCTCAGTGATTTAAATGAGATAAAGTAAAACTCAGCCCATCTTTAAGAACGAGATATAAAAATAGTATAAACAGGTGAGACAAGATAAAATTGAATAGAACATGTTAAAATGAGATAAGACAAGATAAAAGAACGAACAATGTTAAATCTATGCTAAGACTTGCTTAAGAGTCTAGGTACATTTATAAAATAGGAACAAAGCAAGCTGTGATACTGAAAAACAATAAGTAATAAAGCACAAAATCGATGTTAACTTTTCATCTGTAGGGATTAGGTTCAGCAAAACATCCAAAATAATTTTCATACGTTTCCGAGCATCTTTCTATATCAAAGATTTTACTTATTTGAAAACTGTATCTTTAAAAAAGTAAAACATAAAAACATAAATTAGCCAGTTATTAAAGCCTGAATGTTTAGTAATTCTTTTGAAAATAGGAAATAGTCTACTGACACGCACGTATACCACTAGAAATGTCTGTCTTACAAAGTCAGACTGAAAACTAAATTAATCAACTTGTTTTTCTGCTCAAGCACATATGCTGGTGTAGGTTGTCACTCATCCTTGACATTTATTATATATTTTTTTCATTCAACCTTTATTTAAACAGATAAATCACATTAAGCCTCGAAGACTCATTTACAAGTGAGACCTGTCTGGACAGACAAAAACAGTGGTTAACTGGACACATGTAGGAAATTGGAGGCGAAAAAAAAATTCCTATCAGACTTTTCTTGGCTGAGAAAAACCCCTAATATTGAAAAAACACTTTGCACAAACAAGCACATATTTACGTAGACATTCTGCAGAGCAGAGCAGGAAGAAGGAAGAGACGAGAGCGGTCAACAACGTCTACAGATGCTCTCGAGGTCACTGTAATCAGTCAGTGTCCTCCGGTGAGATCCATAAACATTCTCGAGGTATGTCGAGGAATGGCCAAGAATAACCTCTATGAGAATCCAAGAGTCCTGAAATGATGACACAAGTTTATTCAGCGGGGTTTCATCTGGGTGTCAGTTGGAAATTCCTCAGGGAGGGGGTGGTGAGCGTCAGATCACATTTTCTCCAGGCGACTTTAGATAAGATGGCCTTCAAGGACAATCAAGGCGACCAAATTTAGATAAATACACAGTTGTTTTGGGGACAGGCAGAACTTAATGACATCTGCCTTGAGTCTGTGTCGGTCCACTCGGTTCCGAAATGTCCAAAATAACATGGCCACACCGATGGAAACGTGTCTGAGTAAAAATCCCCAAGATCTGATCCATTCAGCCCAAAGCATTTGAGTCCGGGTACTCCAGACATGAACCAAGCCATCATAAAGGCAAGCAGCATGATCGGGTCCAAATTTGCTGCTGACGACTTCCTTGATTGTAGATAAAACCAGCACCAGCTGAATCCAAAAAGCAGGAACCAATTATCAAAAATCCAATTAAATATGCGTCCTTAAAATCCACAGATGGCAGCAGAGATAGACACATCATCAAGTTTTCCAGTCGATGAGATATCCAGCTGCGTGCGTGCCAACAGGGTAAATCGGCTCGCCCAAAGCCTGTCTTCTCTTCGAAGAAATGTTGTAAATTGAGATGAGGGACCAACTGGTCAACTGGTCAAAAACAAGTCCATAATTATGGTTCGGAAGAAATGCAAGAGAGTCTCACAGCAATTTCACAGACAGACAGAGCAGCAAAGCAAAGCGGAGAGGGAGGGGGAGAAGCATCCGATCTCGTGGGGAGCGAGTGGTGACATGGTAAATAAAAAAAATTAATGAATGAATTAAAAAAAGAACAGCTGAGCTTTTAGTCTTTAGTTGAAGATACTTCACTTCCACGCAGCTTGCTCATATAAAAAACTAGAAAGTGGAGTTCTAAGTTTTTTTTAAAGCAACTCAATTAGCTCAATCTAAAAAAGTTAAATCTGGTCCTCTGGACATTCAAAAAAAACAAAACAAAGCAAATCAACAAAAAATGTAGAAACGTTTCGTCTCTCATCCGAGAGACTTCCTCAGTCTGAGGAGCTGTATTCAGCTCAGTCTCTTAAATAGCACCTTCTCAGAGTGGATCAACCAGTTTTGCTGCTGACAGGCTGATGGTCCTTCTTGAGCATGTGATCAGCTGGTTTTGGTTGTCAGCAGCAAAACTGGTTGATCCACTCTGAGAAGGTGCTATTTAAGAGACTGAGCTGAATACAGCTCCTCAGACTGAGGAAGTCTCTCGGATGAGAGACGAAACGTTTCTACATTTTTTGTTGATTTGCTTTGTTTTGTTTTTTTTGAATGTCCAGAGGACCAGATTTAACTTTTTTAGATTTTTCTACCTGGATTATTGAGCATGCATCAATTAGCTCAAGTTATTCAAAGTTCATTACAAAGAAAAAACAGTCAAACAATAATATAAGCTGTAGAGAGTTTTGTTTATCTCCTTATTTATTGATCGCATAATTTAATCTTTCGAAACAACCTGAATGATCTTTACATAAATACCACAGCTATCCAAACTTTTCTTCTTCGTGGTTTTCCCTGCGTTCTGTGCAGCACCGTTGTGGGAAGGTCAGGGTCTGCATCTGGTAGCTGGCATGATATGTGGCGATCAATGAATTGGATGAATTCATCACAACATTCAGGGTCTTCCATATCAGGTGCATTTTTAATCCATACCACCATGTGACTGTGCGGGCTTCCTCTTGCTTGAAATTCCACTCAATAGAAGTAATCTTCCACTGGGCTGTGTGGGTGACAGGATGAGGTCAGTCATAAGAGCGGCCACTCTCTTCTCAAACATATGCATGACTTTGGCAGAATTGCTTTCCTTGTTCTCCCTGTTGAGCTCTGATGACCTCAATAATCTCTGGCCATCTCATTTCAGCAGAAAAGGTCACAAAAACAGTGGGTATGCCCAGTTGCCTTACAGTGGCATGGAGGTCACGAAGGCCTTTCTCCCAGTGAGCTGGAGTACCTCTCAGGGGTTGCATGAAACAAATAGCCTCTTTATTTTGAATCAATCTGTCCACCTCTTCTTCATCTTGTAACGTGTTGCTGCAAATGTTGCGTCCATCCTTGGTCTTTGTTTTGCCTGTACGTGTCTGAATTACATGATAAAAGATACATTAAAGACACAAATCTGAACACATGACATTAAAAATATGCCCGATACGTCTACCACTCGTACTTGTTCAGTAACTTGATCTTATCATTTGTGCCCTTCGACCTTCTGTTTGTTTTACACGCTAATGGCGCTTCTGCCATGCTAGAGTGAATTCTCGTGGAGTTTTACATGTTTTAGGGCAAACTTTTAACAAAGATCAAACATCACATGCACATCGATCTGGGTGAGGATCATGAAATGATGGCAAAATGCTCTAGAATCAGAATAAGCTTTATTGTCATTGTACTGAAATACAGTGAGATTATGTTCGTACAGTCGTCCGAAAGATGGGCAGAGTGCACGTTGCTGCTGCTACAGGAGCGCGGCCTCTTGTTCTTTTTATATAGGAAAAGTTGCCTGTCTATAGAACACACTTGACTGTAAGCCGCTCGTACTAAATAAAATATACAACACAATTTTGTACATATATAAGACGCGCCTGTGTTTAAGCCGAGCGAATCGTTCATTCAACCTTTATTTATACAGGCTAGCCTCATTGAGCCATGGGGACTCATTTGCAAGAGGGACCTTTGAGGGACCATATTAATATCAGAAACCGTTCAAAGCTCCTGGTGGAGTGTGCAGCTCTTGTTTTAGTACAAGAATTAGGGTGTTGTCATAGATGTTGGTTTGCCTTCTACACACATACAGACTGTGTGATTCTCACAGGACTTCATGATGCTTCGCTCTCTGACTCGTGGTTAACACATAATCTGCTACGGTAAATAACCAGTCAACCTACAGAATGAACACTAGTCTAAGCAGAACACACTACCAGTAATCACTGGAGAGAACAGTACACCTGCGTAACTGAAATGATTAAAAAATTTACATATCGGTAAGTTTTACCCACAAATCCTACTTGAGGTCATGTGACTGGCAGTGTCTTGAAATATACTACAGTACAGTAAATGTTTATTAAATAAAGTTACTGCCATTAAATTTTATTGTGAAGCGTGTTTTGGTAAAAGCTGCTGTTTTTAAAATGCGCTTTCAAAATAAATACATAAATTAGCCACGCCTGTATTTAAACCGCAGGGTTCAAAGCGTTAGAAAACAGTAGTGGCTTGTACACAGGCAATTACGGTAATCATCTTCTAGTTAAAGACAAATGCAGTGGTTGAAGTTTGCACACACTGCCTTAAATTTACACAACTTTTATGTACTTTTTATTTGGATTAGATTCATGCTTAAATAATGTCTAGTTGTGTTTTGAAATTAAAAAAAAAAAAAAAACAGACAATTATTTAAACTAACTGATTGCACTTAGCTTATCTCTAAAATACAACGTGCTAATCATAATTTTATGAGGCAAATCTTACCAGTTCCACTTAAAGAAAATCATTGGGTTTATTTAACCAAACACTTATTGTGCAACAGACCAGGCAACCTGATTGTACTAAACGACTGTCAGTGAGAATTTCTATAAATTCCAGGCATTTTTCCTCTCTCAAAACAGCACACACATGAGCATTTCCAAGAAGAGAGTTATTAGATGTAAACTGGGGCACTTGTTGCATGTGAGCGGTTGCAGGAAGTCGCCTGAAACACAAAGCAGCTGCTCGGTGTTTTGCTCGGCGCAGACACGATGCGACTTCATGAAAACAGGCCGTCATTAAGAACGAGTCTGAACTTTTACTGCTCTTGTTTACAAGAAAAGCACTTGTACATTCTGCCATGTGCTGCTGTAGAATGGGTAAAATGAAGGTTGCACTTTACAAAATGAAATTTTTCACTTTATTTAATATCTTAGGTTTTGCAGTGAGAAAGCCACATGTTCTGCATGTTTTTGAACGCTGTTTGGCAGCAGTCCTAATAACCAAACAGTTGTAAAAGCAAATATAAAAGACAGTAATGGGTAATCAGAGTGAGGTATTTCCTGTAAATGCTGCTGGTTCACGGCAGCAGAATGAGCTCAGAGTCCCTCTTTTCATTACATAAACATCCACTATGTCTTCCCCTCCGCCCAGCTATGTTTGCGCCATGTGGAAGCTTGTGCTGCATTTTAGAGCAGTCTTGGTGAGAACAGCGCCAACCGCTGAAACCAACAGACAAAAGGAAGCAGAAGTGAGGTCATTTAAGGACTCACTGGTGCCAGTTTACCAGAGTCACCAGTAGCAGCTTCCTCTATGCAAGCTCTGTTGAAAACATCTCCATCTGTTGGCTGTAAAATGGCCTGCAGATTCTCCAGCGTAAGTTTCGTTTTCTAAACGTCACTGGATTTCTCACAGATGCTGTATGTTGCAACATCTGTTGAGCTCTTTGCAAAAATAACCAGATTACTTACAGCTGTGTGTGGCCCACATCTAAAAAAGCTGAAGGCTTTCTTTGAGAGTCATTGCATCAAGTAAATGAAAAAGACCGTGTGTCAATGTGTCTGAGCTCTAAGTTTAAGAAGTTAGGAGCACATTTGGTACTCTTAAAAAGTATAATTCCTTTACAAAGGTTAGTTATCAATTCAGTTCAGTTTATGTATATAGCACCAAGTCACAACAGAAGTCATCTCAGGGCATTGAACCAAAACATTCATATATATATATATAAAAGTATAATAACATTATTTATCTGAGGAGCAGACTGCTTTGAGTCTAACCATCGCAGACTCTCATCTTGAGCAAGCTTAAAGGCAACTGTGGGAAGGAAAAACTCCCTCATGAGGAAGAAACATCCAGCAGAACCAGGCTCAGGAGAAGCGGCCATCTGCTTCGACTGGCTGTGTTTGACAAGACAAGAAGGAGGAACAGATACACAATGGCAGGTCGAGAATCCCATGTTAAGATAGAAATAATATCAAATGAAAACTATTCAATTTTAACAATTCATTTAAGAAACAAGGTCAATTTGTCCTCCAGTAGTTAAGCTTATAGCAGCATAACAAGCCAACCCTAACTATAGGATTTATCAAAAAGGAAAGTCTTAAGTCCAGTCTTAAAACTGGACAATGTGTCAGCCTCACGGACAGAAACTGGAAGTTGGTTCCACAAGAGAGGAGCCTGATAACTGAAAGATCTTACTCCCATTCTGCTCTTGGAAACTCTAGGAACCACAAGTAAGCCTGCAGTTTGAAAGCGAAGTGCTCTGTTAGGAAAATATGGGACAATAAGATCTCAAATATAAGATGGAGCTAGGTTGTTGAGAGCTTTGTAGGTTAGAAGTAAGATTTTGAATTCAATTCTGGATTTGACAGGGAGCCAATGGAGAGAAGCTAAAACTGGAGAGATATGATCTCTCCTAACATCTCCCACTAAGACTTTTAGCAGCATTTTGGATCAACTGAACACTTTTTAAAGAAGTATTTGGGCATCCAGATAATAAACCATTGCAATAGTCCAGCCTAGACGTGATAAAAGCACAAACCAGTTTTTCTGCATTATTATCTCAGTGCCACTGAATTTCAAGCAAAGTTTTTTATCTTGTGTTCTGTCTCTGCAAGTCTAAGAAACACAATTTTGCTTTAGCATACAGATCAAAGGAGGTAATAGTTTATAATTTGCACGTGTGTTTTTAGGGTATCAGTCCTGATACATTGCACATTGATACTGTCCTCTAAACCTTATGCAAAACCCCTTTAATCATTAGATTCTGAGGTATGAAATGCCAGAGAAATATTGATCTTCCAGTTGGCTGACTTTGTGCTCCTCTCACACCCCCTACCATGTGTTTATTTAAGATTTAATTAGGAGTAATAAATCTTAACAGGAACTGGGAGTGATATTCTAATAAAATGGAGTCTGTTTTAAATGTTGTTGCTGTTTGTTTTTAGGAAACCCAAAGGGAGTCATGCTCTCTCATGGAAACGTAGTGGCAGATTTTGCAGGATTCCTCAAAGTGACAGACGTAAGTTACGTTCTTCTCTTTCCATTTGATGGATTGATTTAATAAATGGTTTAACAATGTAAAAGTTATGCTTTCAAAAGCATAAATGTCATAAGCATAAGTGTCAACTTTCCTCTAGCTGTTTGGCAAGGCCATATTGAAGTCATCTAATTGTTTCCTTCCTTGTATGTCCTGCAGAAAGTCATTTTTCCAAACCAAGACGACTGCCTCATCTCCTTCCTGCCGCTGGCTCACATGTTTGAGAGGCTAATTGAGGTAAATGAGCTGAGCTGAGTTTTGCGATTGCAGGAATTTTATAGGGAGTTTCAAGATATGTGTGGGCAGAGGAAGAAATTTGTGTAGGAGTGTAACACAAAGTGGGTGTCAGCAGTGCAGTGTGGGGGCGGACTGAAAAGCTTGATCCTGTTTCCTAAGTTTCGCTTTCCAACTTCAAGGATGAATGCCACACTTGGCACTTACAGTCAGTGGTGTGAATGTTGCCCAGTAGTCTGTAGAAACTCTTTCAAATGACTGACTTTAGATTCCCAAGCATCCATGTGTTTTAATTATAGGAAACTTTACTGTTAAACATGTTTACTTTGAGGTTTTCCCTCCATTTATTTGATTTTTTCTGGATTTTTGTGGGAATTTTTTGCTCTGTCAGACTGTTGTGAAAGTGAAATGGTTATAAAAAGACTACTAATACTAAAAAAGTTTCATCTTTAGTCAGAACGTTGGCTCAACATTGTAATTGGAGGAAAAAAAAAGGAAAAATTTCCTATATTTTTCAATCATCTTGCCCCAGTTGGAGGCATGCGAGACATTTGCCGTTCCCTTCAATACCCTCTGGCATCTACAAAAACTAGGATTGCCTTTAAAATGATTTGTAAGGTGTGAAATTAGAGCAGAAGTTTAAATGCAACTTAATGGCATTCATCCTAAACCCCATATAAAAGTGAAAAACTACAAAGTATCCCATCAGTCTATTCTGCTGCTGCCCTGAGATGCAAATAAACAAAAGCCATGCAGCAAAATTTATACAAGAAAAGAGAACCAGAAGAAGTTAGCCATCATTATTCAATCCAGTCAAACTTGATGCAATAGTTGGTTAAGGAACTGGGACATAAAATTGTCCTGAATATCAATAAGCATAAGGACAAAGGCAAAACATTTACAGTGAATGCTAAAGGTGTAACCTCTCAGGTGTGTACTTATGTTGATTATATTTTTAAATGAAGCCTCGTGACTTTAAAAGCACCTTACAATAGTAATATCGATCCAAACAAAGGCAGGATCAGCTTTCCTGTCCTCATACAGTGAGTGTTTTTCTGCTCTTTTGTCCTGTCATCATCCTAACTGCTTTTGTGTTAACACTTAGCAAGGACTGACTGATTTACAGAGGTGTGTTGTTGTCCAAAAGCAGAGCTGACTGAACAGCTAATGCTCTCAGTTCTCATTTAAACCTCCTCAAGTTCAGTTTTTTTTAAGATCTCAACTAACCATTGACTGCAAATAGAACTGTCAGAATCCAACCCTTAGAGCCAAAGAGACTTGCTGATTTAATTGTTTAGATTTCTTCGCACTGCATATTAAGTCCCATTAAACCAGCATTAAACAGTGTTGGGCCATGCTGTTTTTTCCTAATTTTCCTTTACTTAAAATCAAAGGTATTGTTTAGTTTGATGGATAACTGGGTGAGTGTGTGACCAACCTGAGCTACATGCTGCTCAGTTTCACAGGCGTTAAACTCAGACACAGGAAACCACCTAACTTCCCCTGAAAGATGCACTTCAGGTGACACATTAAAAGCAAGTTCAGCAGCGTCACACAGACGCACAGATCTGCATGCGATACCCGCACTCTCAAAGAAATTAAGAAAAAATAAATAAAAGAGAGCAGGCATGATTCTTTTCATTGCCCTAGGTTTGAAAAACACCAAAAGAAAACCACCCGTGTTTTTCTTAGAGCTACCTGACAGAGTTGTTAAAAACCCAACTTTGAAACTGTAACAAGCTGCAAGTGATTTTGAAAAATAAAAAAAAATGTGTGGAGGTCTGTGACTGTGAGCGAAAGAAAAAAGCTAAATCCTTAAACGACTGAGTCACTTCCTATGCTATTAATTTGATTTACTCGTCAGAGTTCCTGTCGCACATTGCATTGATGTGACATGAAGTCAGGCAATGAAATACTGTATTAGCATCGGGCTAAAAATACCACAAATCAAACCTTCATCTGGTTGAAATGAATTGGAATTCAGTGAAATTCTCTAATATCAATCTTAAAAAGCAGATATGTTAATATGTTGGTTTGTATTTTAAGAATAGGTATTAGAGGCGGCACGGTGGCGCAGTTCGTAGAGCTGCCGCCTCAGGTTGAATCCCGGCTGGGGGGCCATTCTGGGTGGAGTTTGCATGTTCTCTCTGTGCATGCGTGGGTTTTCTCCGGGTACTTCAGTTTCCTCCCACAGACCAAAAGCATGCATGTTAGGCTGATTGGTAACTCTAAATTGTCCCTAGGTGAGAGTAAGAGAGTGAATGGTTGTCTCATTTGTCTCTATGTGTCCCTGTGATGGACTGGAGACCTGTCCAGGGTGTCCCCCGCCTCTCATATAATGATGGCTGGACATGGGCATCAGTGACCCCCATTACCCAAAAATGAAGAAGCGGTTAAAGATAATGGCTGGCTGGCTGGATGGGTATTTAGCTGTTTTAATTGTATTTTTTTTTTTTTTAAACTTACGTGATTAAATCTATTACTAGAAAGCAATAGAAGATTTCACTTGCACTAAAACTCGTGCTTGAACAAATCTTAAACTGATAGTTATCTTCTTATTTTATTTTTTTTCTAGGGGCCAAATTTGTTTTTGTGGTTTGGGCAAGATCTTCATTTTAGCACATTTCTCTTCCTCTTTTAGCTAAAAAAAAACATGAAACTTGTCAGTGTGCTAATAAAAAAAAATACAAGACATTTACAATAAGTATGGGGACAGCAACATAAACTGGCATTTCAAGTGTATGTCCAAAACTGACTGCAAGTTTATCAGAATTAGAGATGATTCATGGTGCCACAAGCTGTAGAGTGAGACATTACCAAGGTTTTATTTGTGGGATCTTTAGCCACGTCTTGTCATTAAATGGTCTTGTTTCCCATTAATGTTCTTTGAACAGTTGTTTCAGTAAAAAGTAGAAAGCCATTTATGTCCACCTCTTTAATTTTAGCATCATTCTCTGTAATTCTCTAAAGCTATTTTTCTTACTATGCATAAAACGGCCGCTTCTATGTATTTCTTTAAATACAGTAGGTTTAGTAAGTGTATTTAAGATTTTATTGACATAAATATTTGTCTGTCTTCCTCTACAGTCTGTGGTGATCTGCCATGGAGGACGAATCGGCTTCTATCAGGGCGACATCCGCCTCCTATCAGACGACATGAAGGTTCTGCAGCCGACCATTTTCCCGGTGGTGCCTCGACTGCTCAACCGCATGTACGACAAGGTGAGCTGAACGGACGAAGAAGGCTTTGAAAGAACAGGACATTACTTTGTTCTGCTTGAGATAAAAGGACAAGTTGGAAAAATGTGCATTTTCTGCAACACATGCAGTATGAATGCTGCATGATGACTATGTTGAAAAACATGAAACTGAGTTGTCAAATTTAAAAATGAGCAGAACAAAAGCTGAAACAATCAGATTAGAGCATAAACTAAATACACGCTACAATGAGCAGAGCATTAACAGGTTAAAAAGGTCAAAACAATAGCTTAAAAGTAAAACCAGCAAAAGAGTAGCAGTACATTAGCTAAAAGCTAAAATTACAAAAATGCTACAACCAAAACAGTTGCAATACAGTAGCTGAAAGCTGTAATTATAGAACACCAGCTAAAACAAACAATAGCTTTTTGCTAAAATCATCAAACTTGTAAATGAACACAAATTTCAGCATAATGGAAGCTAAAAGCTAAAATTAGCTTAATTGCTAAAACGACATTTAGCAAATCAGTAGCTTCAAGTTAAAGGTTGCATAAATAACTAAAATAAAGCAAGTTCCCTGAACTAGTTTTCAATCAGAGTAATGTTTCATGGATATCTCGATGTAATTCTACGGGTAAAAGTTTGTAAACAAAGTCTAATATTTAAAGTAACAAATACCAAAAGTCCCTGCACTCATCTCGGGAATGAGCTGAATGTTTTGACAACTAAATCGTTTAAAAAGTCAAAAAAAAATAAATGCTGACAAAGTTCCATCCATCCATTATCTTTTACCCGCTTCTTCCTTTTCGGGTCACTGGTGCCACTGGTGCCCATATCCAGCAGTTACTGTGTGAGGGGCAGAGGACACCCTGGACAGATCTCCAGTCCATCACAGGGACACATTATGACAAATGAGACAAACAACCAGGATTTGATCCTGCAACCTACTCGCTGAAATGCGACAGCTGTACCAACTACGCCACCGTGCCGCCCTGCTTGATGAAGTTTGATAGCAAAAAAGTACAAAAGAAGCTAAACAGGACAATGATAGTGAGGTTGATGACTCAGCATTCTTAAATTAAATCCTATTGATCAGACATCTTTACAGAAAGAACATTAAATTCAGTCAAATATATTTTTTAATTCCACTCTGGCTTCCTGATAATTTTGCATTAATTAACCTTCTACATAGTAAGCTAAAGAGAATAATGTTTTAATGAGGCTTTGATACGTTCTGAGGAGACCTATAATTTACATAAATATGCATTCTCATCAAGTGGAATGAAAAAAGCTTAAAAAAACCATGTATCATCTTGGTCTTCTCTGCAGATTTTCAACCAGGCGAACACCCCGTTGAAGCGCTGGTTGCTCAACTTTGCTGCCAAGAGAAAAGGTGCTGAAGTCAGCAGTGGAATCATTCGCAGCGACAGCATCTGGGATAAAATCTTTTTCAGTAAGATTCAGGTAAACGCTGCTTAGCTTAACAAACTGTTGACTTCTCCCTGTAGCCTCAGTGCACAAGCTTGGTATCAAGCCCAGCTGGGTATAAATTTGATCAAACTGAGAGTACGAGGGAAACAGAGAAAAAAAAAGTTTTCCAGCATTTGAACCAAAAAGTACCCAACACCAATCCCTGTCAATTTTTTTAATGTACTAATGGTAACTGGCAAATAGAGCATACAGAACACTAAATATTAAAAAGTGAGATTCAAAGCACAGAATCATATTGAATAGTTTGTTTTTTTTCTCTCCGTAATTTGATTACTATCACCTTTTTATTGAAATGTTGAGGGGAAAGTCATTCTTTGTGCCTTTAAATCTATTTCACCCTCAAATCAAAGACTTGTTGTGATAATAATTAGATTCTCTTTCACGCAGGCCAGCCTGGGAGGCAGGCTGAGGATGATCATTACAGGGGCAGCTCCTACCTCACCTACGGTCCTGGGTTTTCTCAGAGCAGCTCTGGGTTGCCAGGTCAGACGTTTACATCCTTTTCTGTAATTTCACTGTTTAGATTCAGCCAAACTGATTTCAGTCTTAATGGTGTTGCTAAAATTGGACCAGCTGAGCAAACAGAAAAAAAAAATAGGTATTTAGAGCTGAAACATAAACTACAACAAATACATTTGTTTCTGTAGGTGTACGAAGCATATGGCCAAACAGAGTGCACCGCAGGCTGCACCTACACCACACCTGGAGACTGGACCTCAGGTGAGCATCTGTTTTTGTGCTAAAGGCCGAAGGAAGACAGACAGACAGACAGACAGATTCTAATCTCTGCTCAAACCACTGAACTTGTTTACTTGATACGAGGCTCGGATCAAAGGTCTAACGGCGATGGTAGTGACTCTGTATATTAAGGAACAATCAACTCCCACGCTTGAAGAGCACCTGATTATGCTCTTTGTGCTTGTAAACAGATTAAATGAAGTATTTTTGTCACAACTGCCTTGATTTCATAATCACGTATTTATTTAACTGTGCTCTATTACTTGGGGTCCCAGTGATGTAAATGCTCTGACAGAGCAGTATCTGCCCTGCTCCAAGTAAATGAGTAATGATGGGGGGGGGGAAGTAGGTTGACTATGAGAGTGAGCAAACAAGGCGACGGATCACTTCCTATAGATGGAAAAATTACGAAACGGGCAGAGATGAAAGAGCAGTTAAGTCTAAACTCTCTTAGATGATATCCATCATCAACATGCAGGTACAGAAAAGTGGCTGTTATAACTGGCTGAAGTTAGTCTTTGGTATGTTGTCTGGTTGTTTTTCACAGTCTGCTCTTGATTCAATCTTCTACAAACATCTTTGTAGTTAACAAGACTCAGTGTCCTATTATGGACACCTGTCTGTCTACATATTTCAAAGACAGGAGAAATAACTGGAAGTAGCAGAAATTAAGATGTTGAGGTTCTCCTTAGGAGCGGCAAGGATGGATACGATTAGGAATAGAGGTATAGCACAGGTTGAACAACTTGGAGATAAAGTCAGAGAGGCCAGACTGAGAAGGTTTGGACATGTCCAGAGGAGGGACAGTGGGTATATTGGTAGAAGGATGTTAGAAATGCAGCTGCCAGGAAAAAGACAAAGAGGAGATATATGGATGCAATTAGAGAGGACATGGAGGTAGTTGAAGTGAGATGGAGGAGGATGACTCACTGTGATGACCCTTGAAGAGGGAAAAACTGAAAGAAGAAGTCTGTCCACATATTTCAGCCTTTGTCTCTTGTTTTTAGATGGATGTTTGCAATTAAGAAGGATTAAATAGGAGTAATAGTTGCCTCTCGCATCTCGAAAGCTCCCCATGACTCAGAAAGGAGAAGCGGAAAAAGAAAATGGATGAATCATCAATTCAACATATCCTAACGCATTTCATAGAAAATATCTCAAACTAAAAGTTGTTGAATTCTCCCTTTATTCATGCTACAAACTGCCCTGTAAGGATTGTAATATCAAGTTTGGTAGTTTTCTACTAAATCTTGCTGGAAACCAAGCAAGACTGAGATTTCTGAGGTCTCTCAAAACTTGTTTTAGAAAATCGGCAACCAGTTTGACACAAAGTCCAATTTAAATAGCCAGTACAAATGACATGATAAAACGTTAAACACATGAGAAGAAAACAACAAAAGAAAAAGCAGTGAGCCTACAACAAATGAACAAGGCCTGCAGCTAAAGCCTGGCACAGGACCAGAGAGATGCATCATCCTTCAGTTATTTATCAAAGTTTCAGCCAATAGGGCTTTGGGAGTCACCTTCTCTTTGGCATGAACTTCTTTGAGGTGTATCAAATTGCTTACACTGCTGTTTCTCACAGGTGCACCAAAACACGACTGATCCAACCAAAAACACTTTCTCTGCCATCAGCAAGACAAAAGGACTGGGTTGAAATGGGTGGGAAGGGTATTTAAAGTTTAAAGGAACAAAAGTAAAACCTACAGGAAACAGATCATCTTTGTACAAGAGCACTTCTGAAAAGTTGCAAGAAACTTTGGCTCCTTTTAAGCATATTATAAAATGTGGTGTGTCTCAAGATTTTGCACAAAGAGAGACATTAATCTTGGGATTAAAGTAAATATAAAGGTCAAACTTCGGTTTTGTTTGTGTTAGATATGTATGAACAAATTTAGTAGTTGGTGATTAAACTTGTGAGAATGATCAAATAGATCACTTTTTGCTCATTTTCTTTTTAAAATGCATCTTGTTTTCATAGAGATGATTATTGTAGCCTTGCAATAATGAATAATCTTGGGGAAATGGCCTTTAATGCACTTTTATATTTAGAGTAGGCCTAGAAAACATAGCCCAGGATTAGTGAAGTGTACAAAAACTGTAAAATAAAAACGGGACGTCTGAAACAAACATTGTTAGAGAAAGGCACAATTAACCTGTAAGCTTTTCACTCAACCTGTGAGCTGTAATTTAAAGGCAGTTTAATAGATCGCCTGAATGAAAGAGCTAAAATGTAATTAAACACCTCCCCCTGCTGCTTTATTGTGGTATCTAAATAAATAATAAAAATCACATTCTAATGTAATTTAAAG